CTGCAGGAATGGGCATGGCACTTACTGAAGCAGAGAAGTCTTATCTGTCCCTTTCCACCTCTCTCTCTCTCTCTCTCTGTTTGAAGGGCTGCAGAAGTGCAGTGGAGGAAACTCACCTGATGAATGAGGACAGCACTTTGCTTAAATCCTCCATAGGGCCTACCAGAAAGGTAAGGAGAAGGGTGGAAAGTTGATTTTGGATTCCATTCTCCCTACCCCCCAGAAGGGATTTCTGATCTGTACAGCTCCAGTAATAAAAGTATCAGTGGAACTACCAGTACTAATAGAGCTTTGCTGGTTTCACCTGTGCATGGCTCACTTCTGCTTAAGGCAGGCCAGACCGATACAGAACAAAGCATCCTTTTGTCAGACCATCCCAAATGGGAATCCTACCCTTGCTGACACCGGCAGAGTTGAGCCAGCATTAACATGCCAAGGTGTTTATAGGAAGATTTAATGTGGAGAGGGCTTGTCTGGTGAATCTACCCCTCTATGTTCTAGCTAAAGAGTGAAAAAACAACAAAATTGCTTATTAGGGTACCATAATGTTGTCATTTGGGAAATCTCAAGTCCTCCCTCAAAGGCAACAAGGAATCTTGGCATTGCTGCTGTTTCCAAAGCTAAAATAAGGCAGACACGTGACTTCAGTAACTGCATGTGAAGTTTACATACTATGACTCATTGTAATAAACCTAAATAAAATCCCAGTGTGCTATTACAGCTGGAATGTGTTTTCCATAGTAAATTATTTTAGGTTTGATTTGGCTTCTTTTTTACCGCTGTAGAGTAGTAGAATATCTCAGGGATATAAACTCTTTGCCATTGCAGCATATAAAGTTCTGGTCTTTGTGAACAGACCTACTGTAAACTACAGCAGAAGATTGTCTTTTTTTTTTTTTTTTAAACTCTGGCACTAGAACTTTTACAGCAGTGCCAAATGCTAGACTACGAGAGCAGCTGGGAAAACAAATGGAAAGAAGAAAGCAGAGGAAGAGTTGCATCTCAAGCTTTAACCTAGGCTGTCTTTTCAAGAAACTGCCATTTCCAAATAACTATTTTATAATTATGCCATAAGATACCAGCAGATGCCACGAGTGATGTATGTGTAGCATGTGAGTTGCCTGCTGTATATGAAGAACCACCTAGTGAGGATCTAGCACAGTGGGAGGGGGAACATGACCAGCCTGATTGTAGGCACCAGTGAGGTTAGTCATCCCGCTGAGTCAGCCAGAGACACAAGCACCTCTAAAGGGTGCTTCTGCCTACTTGTCATCTAACATTAGACAGATAAAGTTACATGGTATAGGCCTGTCATTATAGACTCATTTTCATGATCATTTATGCATGAAATTCATCTTAGGTGGATGATCTGGATTACCAGATCCACATCTCTTCAATGTGAAGTAAAGCTGGTGTTGGACTGGGCAGGGTATTGCAGTGGGTGTTCTTTTAGGGCTCTCCTTGCAGCCCCTCTCAAACAAATGCAGTAGGTAAGAAAAGACCAAACAAAGGTCCCAGTAGAATTCATGTTAATGCAGATCTAGTACCAGAAGTGGGCCACCAGTGTTTGAATTCTGACGAGAAAGTTTCTAAAAAGGGGGTAGGAGAAGGGAATGGATTACACAGCAGATGCATCCAGCCCACTGTGAGCAGTTCTACCTCTTCATCCACCTCTGCCTTCAACTTGCATAAGAAATAATTCTTGGGTGGTATTTCAGTGGTGTGAATTCCCACTTACCAGGACATGGTAATTTTTAATACTCCTTATTTACACAGGTATTGTAAAGTTTCTGTCTAGTCAGTCACAAATTTTCAGGCATCAAGAGTCTGTTCCAACAGGCAGGAAGAGTTGGGTTTCTTCTGTCTTCACAGATAACTTTCCAAGAAGTCATCACCTGAAGTTTGATAAGCACACAGTTATGCTTGTCACACTCCAAGCAAAATGACAACATAGCTAAAATCAGAAAGTCAGAGTTGTTTATTGTATTTTTTCTCTGATGTGTATGTATGACTAGTGCTGAAATAAACCTGGCAGAAGCAGTGTAGTTTAGCTAGTTTAGCTTTCGCTTTAGAGGACTTTCCATCCTGTTCAAATGCTTACTGTGTTCCACTGCCTCAGGCCACAACCTCGTAGTGTCACCCTTACTCAAAGATTTTTGTTGCTATCATTTAGGGTCCCTGCAGGAAGAAGGGCCCAGCTGCACAAATCCCACTGTAGGGTTAGGGATGTTAGGGATGCTGTAACAAAGGTAATACAATGCATGTAAAATGCGTTACAGTCTTGTACAGCTCTTGTCTGATGATCTGAGGGACTCAGCTCCCAGTTTGGCATGCAGTACCCACTGAAGTCAGTATAACTATCATTTCTGGCAACTCATCCTGGCATTGGATCATGATATTCATAACACAATTTTGGTTTAAAGTGCCAAGAGAGGAACTGTATTGTATGACTGTTCACAACTCTTCTTGTGAACACTCTGCACTCTTGTTTTGACTGATTTTTTGTTTCTTTCGAAATATTTTTCTTTTGTAAAAGTCACCTGAATATCAGAAGAGAATTTTCCTTTTGTCCATCTTTCCTCTTTTTATTGCAGTATTAGCTGTAATTAAATGTCAAAATACAGGGACATCATTACCTGACAGTCTTCTCTTTCCAAACAATTCCTGGAACTGAAAATTAATAAAAAGAGATATCCTTTCTAGTTCTTTGTCTTGTGGCTTATTTTCAGCTTTTGACAGTGCTTTCTGTGAGCTCAGTTTCACTGCTTTCTCCCTGGTTTTTGGTTCCCTTGCTTGTGTGGAGCCTTTGATGCTGAAACAGGATAAAGCACTGAAAAAAGAAAAGTAAAGTACTGTGACAAAAGGACAAGCATCGCCCCAGGGATTCATGTACTGAAATATCTTTAAAATTCTGAAAAACTGATTAGTTGGGAGTTGACGGTGTCCATTTATAAACAGTTTATGCTAAGAAATCCTGGTTAGTCTTATGAGCAAGTTCTGGCTGAGCAGAAGTGCTGATGACTTTTTTGAAATGAAAAACATTTCTAAAGACAAAAATATCTGGTACTGAAATCTCTCACAGTCCTTGTTTACAATTTCTGTGTGATCCCTTTTCCAGGTTTATAATGATTGCTTGCCTTGCCAGCAGAACTTAACAACTTTGTGGATTTGTCTTTAATGCTGTAATTAAACCCAGGATGATTTTCATGGGCCCAGAATAATCTGTAATTTTTGTGAGAGCTCTGTCTTTCAAGTGGCCTTGCATAAGATACAATCTTCACTGACCTAAGCATGCAGACACTATTTTTTTTTATATACTCACTGATGTTTTCATCAAAGACCCCTGTACCTTTGGGGTTCTTTCAGCCTGATATGTTTAGGTAAAAGTACAATTTTTCCAGCCTTTCTCACGATGTTTTAGCATGTTTAAGTTATCTTTCTAAAACACTCCTTCTTTTTCTTCTGCCAGTGTGCCTCCAAAGAGCTTGTCTCTTTTAGTCCTTCTATAAGAGTTACAATCCTTTCATACTGGTTTTCCTCCAGCATGACATTTTCCATTGCACTCTCCACCCACTCAGGACACAAGCTGGGGACCCTGCAGTGACTCCTTAGCATTCCCAGAGCCGAGCAGTCTAAAGACCAAAACCTTCTTGTTCTTATTAAATAGGGGATCATTATGTAGTGTAAGACCCAAAATCCGATCTCCTACTTTTTCTCCGTATTTATAGAAGGAGTGGATATTCCTTATCACACAACAAAAAGACGAGACCGGAATCACACACACACTCAGCAGGGCAGAAATGTACTATGGCAATAGTCACTAAGGGGTAGTAGAGGCAGAGAGTTAGCTCCTTAAATGTGAATTTATTCTTCTTGGAACACATAGCTATTTTTGAAGTCTGAAGTTTCATTAATATGATTCCTCTACGGATAACTTGTCCTTAAAGCTTTTGTTCTGGGAATATTTCATGTAAGGAGTTTTGAGTCTTGAACCAGTTTGTGCCTGGTAGTATTAATAACCCAGGGCAGAGAATGTTTATATAGTACTGAGCGCCATGACAGCTCTTAGAAAATAATTAAATAAATCACTGGCTTTGTTTCTGTTTAAATACAGTGTTTGCCCTCTGTAGATACAGATCTTCTGGATCCTGCTCAACAACCTCATTTGGGTAAACCTGAATACTGTGCCAATTTTATTCCAGCTCCTTTAATGTATGGCAACGGTACAGACAACCCATTGGAGTTCCCCATCTAAACGCCTAAGAAAAAGCCAAAGTCCCTGGAACCCACACTAAAATTATCTACCAGGAGTCTTAATTTTTATACACATACACAATTAAAGTAGCAAATGAAAGGGGTAAATACATCCAAATCAACAATTACAGTACGCAGGAACCATTAGGGTCCAAAGTGACTGCCCATTCCAGACTTCTAGAAGTGTGCTGAAAATAATCAGGACTGGAAAGTTACTCTGGCTGCTACTGAGGGGATGCCCAACCATATGAGAGCCAACATAAAACTAGCAATGTCAAAAAAACCACACTAGTTTACAGTTTTAAAGCACTGAGCAGAGAGAAATTGAGAAGACTGGAGCTATTGCAGTCTATGAACTTGGCCTTTGCGACCCACACACACATGCAGAACCTGTGTGCTATAGAGAGAAGCTGTGTGTTTTACTTCAGAACACCTTGAAAGCTTCTCAGGAACCTAAGCACTTAAGAGACATTTCAGAGAAGTCATACTGTGGTTGACTGTGCCTAGCTCACATGCGTTTTCAATAGAAACATTGAAAATCGTTTCAAGAGTGAGGTGTATCCACGTTAAACTTTGAGTATAGGCTGAAGAACATACAGAGCTATGCTAGACTGGTTTCTGGTACAACCTGGCAAAATACTTAAGATGCTACCTAATCCCAAATGATCCCATAAAACCCACTGGTATCTGTGTAATCTCCTACCACCAAATCAGTCTTAAATTAAAATATGAATTTTCCATCAGGAACTGGCAAAGCTGAGAAATAACTTTATGGCTAAATTCAGCATATTTTATGTATTTGTGATACTTGTAGTTTCTGATTTTGAATATAAAATATAAGTAAAGAGAATCCCTATAAATAGTAAAATCGTCGTGCATTTAGTATGGAATCATAATACATTAATCAAAATATTTGTAACATTTGTCTATAACTTCGTTACTGCAGAGTGAGCTGCACTAAGGGGCTTTGAGCTGGTACAGAAGACAGGAAAGGACAAAATTCAACTCCAGCAACCAGTGAATAAAGAGTTCAGGTATTACAAATTGAAGGTTCTGCAAAACCAGACCGAAATGCAGAGTTAAAAGTCTCTGCCAGTTCTGGAACAGAAATTTAGTCTGCTGCTGCCACTAGGAAGCAATAGAATCTGGGGGAAAATGGGAAGGGATCAAGAAGTGGGGTGAGAGACAAAAACTATGAATGATGAATTTGCTATCCAAGACATAAAATGAAGGCTGCATGCCCTGTGAATTTCAAAGGTCCATCGTAAGTTTTTAGGTCCAGCAGTGGGTCTTTTAGTCAGTTACACAGGAGGCCAAGCTAGACAATCTGGATGGTTTAGGATGTGCAGATGGAGTTTCAGCACTGCCTGATGCTTGCTTTCTAACAGTACTTGTAGCAGTATTGAATGGTAAATTGGCAGCTGAATAGCAGCATGCTGGCAGCACAGCAGTTGTAGTGAGAGATATATGTTTATCTTGGTGGTGCAAACATGCCCCTTGTCAGCAGTGGATTCTAGAGTTTGCGTTAATAGTAGAAGTAACACGAGTGTGTCTGCTTGCCATGGGGGTGGCCAGCAGTCAGGCAGCCTGTGTGAATGGTAGTTGTGGGGGCACTGAAATGAGGAGCTGAAGGTATCATCTGAAAAGAAATCTCTCTGGAAAGGATAAAGGGAGATACCATTCTGCATGCCTGGGCTAGTGTGAATTCATCAGGCTCCGTGTTTGAATGGGAGCCAGGTATAGCATGCAAGTAACTCCTGTTTGCTGTGCCTGACCTAAATCCAAGTGCTGCTTTGTCAGGTTTTGTCCGACACGCGTTCTGTTTCCCTACTATGTAGGAACGCTGCTGGAGACTGGGTGTTAGCATTGGAAACATGATGATTCAAACACACAAGTATGAAGGCTGTGTTGCAGCAACAGGGAGGAAGTGGGGACATGTAACCTTGCCTTGTATTTTATGGAGGTCAGAGATTTCAGTTCATGTTAAAAGAATTCTTATTTGGGAAGTTTCAAAGGATTAAATATAGACCGTGTTCACATGCTAGATGGCAGTGAGGCTCCGCAAGCAACCCGCTTCCCTGCTAACAATGCTTGTGGGGATATAATGTGTTGTTTGTTTGTTTGTTCATTAAATGGTAGTTTTTCAGGATTGACATCTCTCAGAGCCCAGCCATGCAACTCCATTGCCTCCCCATTCCTTGGCAACATTACCCCTAGCAAGAGCGCACAGCTGGCACAAGTCCTTGAGCTGCCCTGATTCCTTCCTTATCTTCAGTCTCACTGGTTTTGAGGAAGATAGGAGCATTACACAAGGGGCCTTAGGGTGATAAGATAAGCATCTGCTATTTGAGCCTCTGCCTTAAACTACCACATTGACAGTTCCCAGTAGCAAGAAGACAAGAATTACACTTGATAGGAAGACTGCCAGCTGCCAGCTCTTCTGTGATACCTGCCTCTGGGGATGAGAGGTGTTTCCCTGGTAGGATATCTGTGTGAATACTGAACCCTACTCACCGCTGATACTAATGACAAGGCTGAACAGAGCAAATGCACTCTACCCCCAGATGATGCCAAGGTCCTTTTCTCAGTGGAACAGTAGGTGAGCTTGGTGTTTAGGGCAGAGAGGGTGATGGTATCATCAGTGAGAAATAAGAAGACAACATCTTTTTGTTTCAAAGATCCATGTTTAAAGCCTACACAAACAAACAAACACATAAAAATAAGCAGTAATTAAATGGAAAAGAGAATCCACAGGCCAAAAAAGGGATGCCAAGAGTCAGCATGGGGAGGAAAAAAAACAACTTTTGGTCTAATCAGGTGAAAAATGCATAAAGTTGCTAAGAAGCAGTGGTTTTGGTGCAGCAAGAAACTCTGTCTCAAGTTATGAAGTAGTGGAAGTAAACTCAGCTTGGTGCACATTCCCCCTCATGCTGTTTGCACCAAGCATGGGGTACTGTGTATGTACAGTTAGCCAAGCTCGCACACCCAGAGTGCATGTGTCACCACAGTGCAGTGGTTACAAATGCTGTCACTCAAAGAAGAACAAGGAAAAATGCAAAAAATTACCTTTTTGGAGGAGGGGTGACGGAGGAGGCGAGAAGGAGGTGACTGTATCTTGACAACCCCAGCTGAAACTGACCTACTGTTTGGATTATCAGCATGACTGTCTATTCCCTCACTTACAGAAGATTTCAAGACAACATGACATGTGAATTTGTGAGAATGTGGAATAGACTAAACCAAGAAACAGTCTTTGGCTTTAATTAGGCCACTACTCTTGTCCTGCTGGGGGGTCATCAGGGCTCTGAGTGCACCAATAGCTCTGAGGCACCCTGAGAAGCCCAACCTGGGACCCCCACCCTGTCACTGGCTGGCCTAGGAGCATCTTTCCTGGGGCTACCTGGGGCTCCCAGCTAGTCTTGCCATGTGGAACACCCTGCTCCTGCTGCTCCCTGACATATACCTGAAAGGAAAAAACAAAACCATCTCAAAAGCAGAGACTGTATTTATGAATGAATGTGAGACTTGCAAAGCAAAATTAAAATCAGTGCTATTGCAGGATGACAGACTTGAAATAATAAGCTGTCGTGGTTTAAACCCAGTCAGGTAACTCGTTCACTCACTCCCCCCCTTCCTTCCCTCCCCCTACTCCCAGAGGGATGGAGAGGAGAATCGAAAAGAATGCAACTCCCACGGGTTGAGATAAGAACAGTTTAGTAACTAAGGTATAACACAAATCACTACTGCCACCACCAATAATAATAATAATGATAAGGGAAATAACAAGGGAAGAGAATACAACACCTCAGCACCAGCCAACTGATAACTTGCTCCCCCCCCCCAGCCCAACCAAGCACCGACCGATACCTCCTCCAACCCTGCAGTCTCCCAGCCCTTCCGGCTAACTCCCAGTTACATCCTGGGCATGACGTGCTGCGGTATGGAATACCCCTTTGGCTAGCTTGGGTCAGGTGTCCTGTCTCTGCTTTCTCTCCGCTTGGCCTCCTCCCTGGCAGAGCATGAGGCTCACAAAGTCCTTGGCCAAACCAAAACATCATTGTTATCAGCTCTGTTCCCAAGCCGAAAGTCAAAACACTGCACTGCACCAGCTACCAAGGAGGAGAAAAATGACTGCTACTGCTGAACCCAGGACATAAGCCAAAACCAAATTGTGAAGGAAGAAGAATACATGCTTACAGTACCTGAATCAAAATCTCAGTGTATAAGGGTACAGGCAGAGAGGCTGTACAAAATCTTTAGATATTTAATCACTTGTGTGTTTCCCTGTAGAAAGGAAATAGACAGATTAGTTTTCCTATGGAGAATTCATTAGCATTCTATCATTGAAGAGTCAGTATTTTTAGCTTAGTGAGTTTAAGATGTATTGTGGTTTGGGCCTCAGAAGTTACCAGCTCTGAGTAACAAAAGAAAAAATGGAGTGTGTTAGGAACTGTACAGTGATTTTCTGAGATCTTTTATGAACCATCCTCCTTGCTTGCTGGTTAGCATTAAGTGCCTCAACTCCATTTCAGGAAGGCGGTAATTAAACTGGGTCAAATGGAAGTGATTAGATTGGATTACCCATGTCATGGAAAAAAACACTGGAAGATCTAAGAGGGAGGGAATTGCCACACACATCCCAGCAAGTTCTGCTGGAAGGTGTATGAATTTACTTTTCCCCCTGCTGAAGAGCTTTGGCACACCCAGGATCCCTCTAAATGCCTCAGACTCAGTTTAATGTAATTGTTTTCATCTTGGAAATTCCTTAGGACTGGTAAGGAAAGCAGTTGCCCTAGCATCACTTCCACTTGTGTGGCTCACCCCAGGTCTACCTGTGCTGGGTTTTGGAAGTGTCCTTGAAGCTGCCTTTACTTAGGGGTCTTTAATGAATAAAACTCTTTTTCATTTCTGGTGCTAAAAATTACTGTGGAAATGTTCAGGTGGACAAGGAAGAATAACACCATGCCTGCTGGGAGGGCAACCTCTGGAAGGCCAGCAAGAGGACCCAAAATGGAGAAAACAAATCTTGTACTTGAGACTGGGTTGAGAATTGTGAATGCACAGGCTGCTGTGGGTATGCACCAGCACATCTGCAACACCTCCAGTGCTTTGGATTTGCCCAACACAAATGCCCATTGGCCTTGAGATGGGTCTGTGTGTAGCCTGTGTAGCAAGGCCAGATGCAGCAGCGTGAACCTCAGATTTGCTGTGTGCTACAAACAGGCTCCTGAGAGCCCAGGTCAAGTACAGTACCAAGTGTTGTACTTGAAGTCAGCCCTATAGAAGCATCTAACCTACACAGGCAACTTGCACATGATTTGTGCAGCACTCGTGAGGTCTGGGGTAGAGCTCAGAGTACACAGATACCCTGGCAAGCCTCTCACTCAGCACAGCCCCAATTTAAGGCCGCCCTCCATTATGTGATCCTGCCACAGAGAAGCAAATATTTGGTGACTGCTGTAATTACTAAGACATAAGCAGTATTTTATTGCAGGGTTTCCTGTTGGCCAGCAGCCGAGTGGTTGCTTCCTCCTGGTGACATCTCTGAGTGCTCTCTGCATGCCTGGCTCCACCGCTCTATTTTACTGAGATTTTCAGCAGACACCATGTCACCAACCCCTCAGTCATAACCCTTCACCCCTTGTGCCACCAGAGAACTGATGGCCCTGGGGGAATTGGGCTGAGACGTGTGCATGTGTATGAGCATGTGCATGTGCATGTGCATCCGCTTGTGCACACAGCTGTGTTTATTTGATGTTGCATATAAAAGAGTAGTATTTATGTTCTAATCATGATGTGTTCCCAAGCAAAATATTTTCTGCTCTGATTTATTGCTCTCTTTAGGCCTGCCCTCAAGCATTGTTCTTATAGTTGGAGCCAGTCACATTTTTTCCATTTGGAAATGGAAATCTTAAATGGAATGGCATATTTAATGAAAAAAACACAATAGTTTGTGTTTTCCCATTTTATGTTTGCTTTCTTTCTCCCATCTTTCTTTTTACCCTTTCTCTTAATTTATCTCTGGAAAAAAGAAAGAGAAACAGTATCTGGAGAAAAGGCAGAAGCAATTTTTTTTTTCCTCATTTTTGGCTAAGGAATTAGAAAAGTTCAAAAGGTTTTACTAAGAAAAAGTCCACATGAAAAATACCTGTCATTTTCTGATTAGCCCTGTTGTACTGCTGATCAAAAGTATCCAGCCAAGAAACCAAATTAAAAATGCTTGCGCGCTATACAGGGCCAGCACCTCTTTACTTTATAGTGCTTCACAAAGCTTACGCAAATGGCCTTAGAGCTTGGTTTTCTTTTTATCCCACAAATATCAAAAAAGAGAGGTCCCCCCTACCCCCAGCCTTCTTTTGCTAGATGACTTCTCAGAGAACCAACAAAATCAAATTAGTTTTGTAGGCTGCTCTTAGAAGATACAGGAGAAAGCAGATCTTTAACAAATTAAGCTTTCCTCCCATGTGTTGTTTCTCACTTTTCATTCAAACAATCTCAGAAGAGTTTTTACACAGTCAGAATAAAAATTCTTTTAAAACCCTGTTTAAAATCTCCACTTTTAATTACCCTCAGTAGCTTAGGATTCATTTCTGTTTTGAGGCATGAAATCCCTTCAGCTCTACTGCCTACACAGCAAAAACAGCAAGAACAAAGCAGAGATTATGAAAAAAAAAACAACAAACAAACTCAAGAAAATAATGACATTTTTAAAAAAGCTCATCCATCATTATGCCATAAAAAAAAAACAAAAATACCAAAATCATACACTTTTTTCCTCCCTTGTGCATCTCATCTATCAAGCAATAAAAAATCCTGTGCTATTGTATTTGGTTTCTAAGCTGGATGCACAAACTATAGTGGCTGTAACCACCAGGGATGTTGTCACCAAACAAATGTTGCCATTAAAGTGTTAGTAGGAGGTCCATTAGGAAGTGCAAAGAGAAGAACAATTTTTTTTGTGGGGTTTGGTAGGAAAAGCAACTAAATCTGAAGTACAGCTGGGTGCTCTTAAATTAGAAATCTTAAGGAGGTCTCCCACACATCCGTGTAAGATGGCAAGTTTGAGCTGTGCATTGCTGCAGATACGCTTCACCTCCTCCAGCTTCTCTGTTTCTTGCTAAGCTTCTCTGTGGCTGTAAGCCTCTCTTGGTTAACTCCCCAGTGGCTTTCTGGGCAGCGTCTCACTGCTCTTCCATCTCTCCTTCCAATTCTCTTAGTTCCTCAGTATGGTTTCAATCCCATGTCTCAGCAGCTCAAGAGGAATGAAAATCAGCTCAGTAGATTCCTCCCCTTCTCCATTAGCTGCCCCTATTATTTATCTCATTAAGAAGAAAAGCTGGTCCAGATGTGTAACTGAAACAACACATTCTTTTTCTTTGACATTTCCTTGCATTGATCTTCTCTCTGGGTAATTTTATTGTTTTACAATACAGGTGGAAGGTAATTTTCCAACATAGTGTGTTGCCTGGCCCCAAATCTGGTGGGTTTGCTGTGAAAATAATTTTCAGAAACCACAGTCATAGTCCAGTTTGAGAGGACTGGCACAGTATTTGAGCACTCCTTTGCAAGGGCTAGTCCACAAAGGCTGTGTTCTGCAAAGGCATCTTAATGCATGTGTAATGCCTGTATCTTAAGCACATGAAACTTACATGCACATAAGCAACTGGATTATCTCACCAGATAGGTGGGCATTTTTTCCAGATCCAGTGGTTAGTCGGATACATCATTTGAGATAATGAAGAAAGAGAATAGTTCCTCTCTTATTTGACAATGGACAAAGCAAATGTCTTGCATAATAGGAATCTCGGGAATAGCTACCACAATGACTGTGCAGACTTTGAGGTTGCTGCACAAAGAGAATTATTATTACAATGTTTAGTGGGAGGAAAAGAACACCCATCAATTACTATTCTCCAATACCTTCCCCACTAAGGCTAAAATTAATCTTGATTTGAAACTAAAATATAGCAGAACTCGTGTGCTCGTTGTTGTGGAACAGGAAAGCTCTTCAGAAATCAGGTGCTTCGGGCTACAGGCCTCTAGAGGTCACCAGAGCCTAATTAAAAAGCATTGCTAAAGCCATCTGTGAAATGTAAATTGCTTTGTTTTGATTGGGACTTTCCCCCTCTGCAGCTCTGGGTCTCCCCTCTCGCAAGGAATCCAGATTCTCATTAGGCGGCGATTAACATAAAATGCTTGCAAACCCACACTGTCCTGGAAAAGGCCGGGCCATACAGGAATCCTCTCCTTTTTGAGTACGAAAGCAGAGTCTCCTGATTGATTGTCTTATCCTCTGCACACGGTTCCAATCTTACCTTCGTGCTTCTGTGAAAAGCTGGAGCCGCTTGTGTCCCACAGGCAAGAGCTTTGCCACACCTTTGTAAGTCCAGAGAATGCCATGAGCATTACCAAAGTGAGAGGGATGACAGTTCTTTCTCTTGTGCTGAACTCAAAAGGGAGCACAGGCCAAGTGTGCACATTAGGTAGCTGGCAAGGATTTTTCTATGTACGTTTTTGCCTTGCAAATTATGACTTGCAAACACACGAAACTGTAAATCAGAAGGTATCCTTTCGGGTCACCCAGTGCTATGTCTACAGGGAAGGTTTACAGAAGAGCTGCAATTTAATTATGATTAAGGGGTTGTCATGAGGCCAGAGACCTCATCTGCTTCATGCAAGAGCAGAAGGGAAAGCTCAAGTAATTTTCCTGGAGCTCTTTCCAGTGTTTAGGAATGAGACAGCCTGGGGCGGGGGGAAAGGAAGCTGAATACATTTGAGGGAAAATATTTATTTCAAGACAGCAAACAGAAGCTGGTCCTTTCAGGAGAAATTCCTCTGAAGAGAGCAAAGTTATTTATTTTAGGAGCAGTCACTGGAATGCAGGTCTGTGGTGTCTCAGCCAAGTGATTTTTGTCTCCTGTGGAAAGACAAAAGAGTTAAATACAGATGAATGGCTTGTGGCTTGCCAGGATGCTGAAGGTGGAAGGGGGGGGCCTACCGTGGGGGGATCCTCCTAAACAGCTCCTTTGCTTTTATATACAGGATACCGCAGGCCCAAGATGTTTCCTCAGAGTCCAGGGAGTTTTTCTGGATGCACAGCAGGAGCCAAGGCTCTGCCCCTTCTAATAAGTCTATGCGGTAGCTCCTTCCCGTGAAACTTCCTTTGCCATAGTGGCAGCGGATGGCTTGCACAACTTGTGCTCTTCCCTGGGAGCAGCAGCCCAGGGTGATGGGATCACCCTGAGTGTGTTTGCTGGGAACGGTGACACTGCAGCCTGGCTGGAGTCCACACATGGGCTCCTAATCCCACGCAAAGACCTAGAAAGGTCAGCAAGACCATAAACAGTATGTGCCCACCTGAAAGGAGGTCAGGGATCACTGTCATTGTAGCACACCACTCCCAGAGAGGAAACCCTCATATGAATCTTACTTTTAAATCTTTATTTCCTTTCCTTTCAAAAGATGCCTTGTAGACCTAGGGCCATCCCTTCTTGGTTCCCTTCTCAAGGCTACATCCTAGAGAAACCTTGCTCCTTCTTCTTTCCCCTCTCCAAACAGCAATCTCATCAAAATTTCTAGGTGGTTGCCATCTGTCACAAGCAAAACACCACCCTTTTTGCTATTTACAGTGCAATTAACCTTTACTAAATTAGCCTCAGACTGTCATGAGAAGATTAATTAAGGCAACACACCCTTGACTAATTCCCACCATGGAAGCAGTGTGCTGCATTTGCAGCACCTTACCCACGACACTGACAAAACTCTTTCAGAATTGCATTGTGGCAGGAGGGGGAAAGGTGGTTTTATCCTATCTGCATCATCCCAGCAATTTTGCTAGCCCTGGGGAGACGTGCAAGGAATGGCTCCAACAGACACAGTGCTGTGGAGGTACCTGTGGTGATGTAAGACCTGGTCTTCCCCAGCAGTGTGTGTGGGTGTTTCCCCACTGCTGAGTGTTACTGCTCTGGTAGCCAGGATGTGGGACCCCACCACAGGCAAGTGGTGTAGTTTAAGCTGCCAAAGAATGAAGTTACTGCCAAAATATTGGGCTGTGATATGCAGCAGCTGTGCTTTGGAAACATACCCTGTTTTGCCTAGCACCATCAGACTTCTGTACACGTCTAAGAGGCATAAATCATGCATAATTCAATACATAGTTCAAGGCTTCCCAAGAGCCTCAGACCTTTGGCCTTGTATAGTGGAGCTGATCTGTGCAGGGTGTGCCTGGGTTATGTGGACATCCCTGTGCTTGCTGCCAGGCCCTGGAGAACCCAAGGCAGATGAGCCAGTTCCCCCAGGCCCAGGACAGCATGAATCCTGGTGGAAAAAGAGGTCTTGGCCAGGGAAATCCAGCATGCTGGCCCTGCCTCTGCTGTTCTTCCCACACGGCTGTAGCTCCTGGCAGAGAGGCAGCGCAGCCAGTAAAGGCGGTGATGTCTTAAGCCAAAGCAGCTGCAGTCATCAGAGATGGTATCCTGAAGGCCAAAATCTCAGGACTCAAAGCTGCAGCAGAGAACAGCCGCTGCACAGCAGCACTGTTGGTAAGCAACAAGGTTACAATGCAATACCTATATTGGTGGGCAATGCTTTTGCTGTGCTATCAGTAGTTCCAGGTGTCCCACCGTGTTGTCCAGCACAGGATTGTCCTTCTGTACCTATGCCACTGCCACCTTCTCCTCATGCACTGAAACCCCCCATGGATGGGTTCTGGGGAGACTGTCAGCCCAGGGAATGGGGGCTTAGTGAAGAAGAAAACAGCCCTGTTTCACACCATGGCACTGCCTCTGCCTCCTGAAAGTTTAACAGAGTAAGTGATCATTAGTAGTGCCCAACACTTGCATTTCTTCAGCACGAAGATTCAAAGTGTGTGACCCATAGCAGCACTGTTCTGACAGACCCAGGACAGTACTTATTAATTGCAGTCAGGTGTAAACTACTTCCTTACATTTATTTGGTTTTGTACCCATGTGTGTACCTAAGGAACTCATGAATGGGTACAGAGGCAAGACCTAGATGCATACTACTGCCATCCTCCTCCTGCTTTACTCTGATGGGAAAGCACTTAAGAACCAGCTTGGATGATACCAGCACTGGAACCCTGGGCATGCAGCATGCTCTGATCCAGAGGTACATACAAACACAGTCTGAGGTAATCACATTCAGCATTACTGGGAGGAAAGGCTGAAACAGCATCTGTTGTGATGGTGAACTCTTCACACTGTTATGGTATGGACACTTCTAACAACATTCATAACATCCTAAAAGCTGTCAGGGAGGAGCAAGGGATTATTCATTTTCCAGCCTTACCTTCCATGTTGCAGCCATACCTCAGCAGCAAGGAGGCTGGCCAAGCCCATGATACACCTGAAAGGCTGCAGCTTCACAGATGGTGACAGCAGTATGCAAGACTGCACCATCCATTAAATAAGAATAAAATTAATACAAAGTATAGCTGATACAGGATAATAAATGATCGTACTGAATCATCAGACAGCCACTTATCTTCTTATGTCCTTGCCGAGAACATGAAAAAGGAGTGACCAATGTAATCTGCTGATTAATGGGCATTATTTGGAAATTCAGATATTCTTGATACGTCTGATTCTTGTCAGTTGTAGTAGCAAAACACTCCTGCCCCAACTGAAGCCAGTAGGAATTATAAATCAAAGACACTCACAGTGTATCACTGTAAAGTGAAGTAAGTGGCAGTCTATCGTAAGCTGAGCTTTACCATGTCAAGCAGAGCTCAGGCCGAGGAGCTGACACAGCAGCTGTTTGTTGGTGTGACAGTGACCTCCAGCAGACAGGCAGACTGGGCAAATGGCTATACTAACCTCTTTACCTGTGGCAGCTGATTCTCCCAGCCCTTAGGATGAGGACTTTTTGCCTGTGCTGAGGGCATGACTCCCATCTGTCCCAAGAAGAACAGCGCGGGACGGAGTATCTATCAAGAAATGATGCTCAGGTTCTGCTCAGTTCAAGGCAAGGACAACCACTGCCTATATGGCCTACACCGATGAGCTTGTCCTATTCCCATGAGTCAATCTAGAGCCAATCCAGTGAACTAGGTCACCGGCAGTGACCCACATCTTCCGCAAGAAGAGCCTCTGATGCTGAAACCCCAGCGGGATGTTAAAGAACTTTAAGCACTTTTCGCTTCCCCTTCCGGGGCGCAGACGGGCTGACCAGGCGCACTGACACGATTACCTCCGCTTTGCGCTGCTCAGTTACGCCCTAATCAATACGGATAAAAGTCTGACAAAAGCAGCTTAGAGCAGCGGCCTCCTCCTCAGGCCCTGCCGGAGCCTGCGCGCGTGGCAGCGGCGCCGCGTGACGTACGTTCCGGCAGCGCGACAGCCGTCAGTGCTGCCCGCGCCGGAAGGCTCCTGTCGCGCTGGTGACGTTGGCTCTTCCTCTTTCCGGAGTGAGGCCGGAGCGGAGGTATGGTCGCTGCGGGCGCGAACCCCATCCGCCGCCATCCGCCCCCCGCCCGCCGCTGGTGCCCGCCCCGGTGCTGCCCTCGGCCTCTCCCCGGGGTTGGGGGCGGGCCGTGCGGGTGCGCGGGCCAAGGCCTGGTGCGGCCGAGTCAGGCGCTGAGGGCTGCGGGGACTGTGGGGGCCTAGGGGGAGGGAATGGGGAAGGGGCGTCCCCGCTCGGGACGTTGCTGACGGCGGGTGTCGGCGCGCTGCCCTCTGCCCGCAGGGCGCCATGGGACGTGTGATTCGGGGCCAGAGGAAGGGCGCGGGCTCCGTCTTCCGCGCACACGTGAAACACAGGAAGGGCCCGGCCAAGCTCCGCGCTGTCGACTTCGCCGAGAGGCACGGCTACATCAAGGGCATCGTTAAGGTAGAGGCGGGGGCCTTTCCGCGCGTGCTCTGGGCCCCGTGCGAGGGAGGGTGGGAGCCTGCAAGGGCTCTTAGCGCCCCTTGCCATCAGGTGCAGGGACACTGAGGTGCGCTTCGTTCTGCCTTACTTCTGCAAGGTAGCTGAAGTCCTGTCAGCTGTGCTGAAAGCCGTTTGGCTGCTCCTTGTTGGGGCTTCTCTTCGGTCGTTAAATAAGTCACATTTCTTGAAATGCTAAGCTGCTTTGTGTTTATGACAGCATTTAAATAAACTGGCAGCACATAGATAGCAACGTGATCTGGTAAGAATTTTGCTAACGCAGGAATACCTGTGCTTTTATATCGCCTAAGAACTCCCCTGTACCTCCTGAAACATGAGGGGGGAGAGTTTTCCACATAGTTTCATCTTTAAAAAAGTAAATCGATGTTCATTAACACTAGGTAGTATCCATCACCTTAGCCCTGAGCAGTGGGGGCAAGGCAGGATTGTTATTTGGGGTACAGTGCAGTGTTTCAGGTGTGCTGTAGGTATTTTTCACGCATCAGTGACTTAGACTGCAAGCAGTGCCACTGGGTACCTAGCTGGGTGCTCTGAGCATCAAGCTGTCTCTTCAGCCTGTCAGAGCGGGGTCATCTTCAGGCTGGAGAAAAAACTTCCTTCATGCTCACTGTAATTGAGTTTTATGATAAAAAGTAGGTAGGTACATTTGTAGGTATGTAATGCATGGGGGGGAAAGGGAGGTTGGGTTGCCCAACAGGGTTGAAAACAGCAGAAAAAAACCACTAATACTGCACATCAGCCACATCTGAGCTTTCCTAGAAAAGACACATATTGCAAAAACCTTGAATCACTTGGCTGTGGTCTAAATACGTGTTTGTGTGTTGGAATGTTGGTGTAATTAAGGATTAGAATTAGCATATTTTTCCAAGAAAAAAAGAAACAGTAAGCCTGTGGTACCTCACTTTGGGTTTGGGTAACTCCGGTATACTTAATACCAGAAGGTGAGAAACCCTGCCATTCTAAGAAAACACTTGGAGAAATTGCTGCTGGTGTCCAAGTTTGTCTCTCCCCAAAGGTGGTTGGGCAACTAGTGGTTGGGGAGTTCAGGTTAGATATAAGGAAGAAGCTCTTTCCTGTGAGGGTGGTGGGTCACTGGTACAGGTTGCCAAAGAAGTGGTTAATGGTCTGTCCCTGGCAGCGTTCAAGGCCAAATTGTACAGAACCTTGGGTGACATCGTCTAGTGTGAGGTGTCCCTGCCTATGGCAGGGGGGTTGATCCTAGATGATCTTAAGGTCCTTTCCAACCCGAATCATTCTAAGATTCTAACTACTGAAAGTGGATTTGTTCTAAGGGGAGATCTGCTATCTGCACAATGTCAGGAATAAGCCAGTTCAGACTCAGTTTCAGGCAGCACACTGAACCAGAGTGTGGTACCAATACTTGTTGTAGTCTTACTAAATGTCAATCTTTAACTCATTCACATCAGGAGAAATGAAGATCCCCCCCTGAGAATTACCTCAGTAGTAATCATCTCCAGTTTTCCCAGTTCTTTGATTTCTGCAGAACACATGACAAATGCTGTCCACTTTTCTAAAGCACTCCTGTGTTCCAACAGGACATCATCCATGATCCTGGCCGAGGCGCTCCACTGGCCAAGATTGCCTTCCGTGATCCGTACCGGTTTAAGAAGAGGACAGAGCTGTTCATTGCTGCCGAGGGTATTCACACCGGGCAGTTCGTGTACTGTGGCAAGAAAGGTGAGTTAAGGTTGAAGCTGTGTGCTCGGTGTTGCCTGAGCAGTTTCAGAGTGCTGAAAGAGATGTTGTCTGAACCGGGATGGCTGAGTGTGGTTGTGAGCTGTGACACTGGAGCAGCTTCCACTAGCTTTAAGCAGACCTGGATATTTTTCTTGGAGATTGCCATCTCCTCATGCAGCCTGTTTTGACTCTAACAAGGCTAATTGCAGTCTTTGGCAAGTTTTTGGGTTGTTTTACCCAGACACCCTGTTACCTGCCTTTCTGCTGCACCAAGGGTGGGACTTGGGTTTCAGATCAGACAACAAAAAGTGCTTCTGCTTGTCTCTGCTGAAGTGTGTGTGCGGTACCCTTCTGTGTACATTGCCCACGTTAAATAGAATTGTAATTCAAGTAGAGGAGCCTGAATGAGGCTGTGGATGCTCTGATTGCTCTTTGCAGCTCAGCTGAACATTGGCAATGTCCTACCTGTTGGCACCATGCCAGAAGGGACCATCGTGTGCTGCCTCGAGGAGAAACCGGGTGACCGTGGGAAGCTGGCCCGTGCTTCTGGAAACTATGCCACCGTCATCTCTCATAACCCAGAAACAAAGAAAACGAGGGTGAAGCTGCCTTCTGGCTCCAAGAAAGTGATTTCTTCTGCAAACAGAGCTGTTGTTGGTAATGAGTGACAGCTATGCACTTCTCCTGTACCTGAGTTGTCATACTGCTAAGCAAGCTTTCAAAAAGGGCCCCAGGTTCTAATCTTGTCTTGAAAGTAGCATTATTTACAGGCTGGACTGGGATTATGCACCAGTACAGTCTGTGCACAGGTGCCTGACTTGTATTTTTTGCCTGCATTGGTTTTGGTTAATGATAACTTAAGTCTGGAGATGGTTTGAGCAAGTGAGAGGACATAAAAGTAGATTCCCATTGTCCTCAAGCTGTAATGGAGCTGCTCAGCCCGTAAAATCTACAGTCCTTGGGAAGAACTGTAGAAAGTGTTGATGATGATTTCCTGCTTTTGGTAAACTGAGCTTTTGGTACACTGAGCTTTTGGGGTAGTACTAGGGAGTGTTGTCAGTAGAACAGTGTTCTGGAAGGTCTGGCAAGGAAGTAAAATACCATTGTCAAGAAGCAGAGGTTTTAGCAGGTTTGTTGTACCCTTGACTGACAGCTGAGATGGAGGCTGTGCTCAGCCAGCAAGTGACATGTGCCTGCCTCTCAACAGAAGACACCGAATTTAACGGCCTGTTACTCTAGTAAAATTGACTAAATTAACCATGAAATAACTAGATATTAAACCTTAAAGTTCTTGAAAGGCCCCTGAACTCTTTCAGTTCACATTTTCTTTAATTGAAAAACTGTTGTTTCCATTACCCAAGAAATTGCAGCAATAAACCTGGTAAGATCTCAATCCTGTACGTATGGGTGGAGAAATGGTGATCAAGGTGCGTGTCCCCTTGCAGAGCACTAGGTGTATGGCTCGTGGCTTGAGTCCCATCTCCCTGCTAGTGTTGGCTGGAAAATGAAAGTTTGAATACACACCTGGGATTGTTTGGTATTTACTGCTTTGGGTTTATGACAGCATTTAAATTGGCAGCACATAGATAGTATGAACTGAGATTTAGAAGCTCATTCTTAGAACTTGAATATTACTAGGAGTTAGTCTTGTTCTTAAACACTCTTTTGCATTCCTGTCTGTTGTATTTGTGTGTTACTATTCCTGCATGCATTTTTTTTTTCCCCCAGGGATTGTTGCTGGTGGAGGTCGTATTGACAAGCCTATCCTGAAGGCTGGCCGTGCCTATCACAAATACAAGGCAAAGAGGAACTGCTGGCCACGTGTCCGTGGTGTAGCCATGAATGTGAGTCCATTCTTCATTAATTTTCACTTTTTTATGCTTTAAAAGGGATGTGTTTGCTGTGTGAAGCAGCCTGCCCCATATCTGAAAGAAGGCTTTTTTGTTCCCTTAAATCAATTTACTGCTTTTAAGCATCATTACTAGTTTCTGTTATTTATATTGACTACTTGCTTTCCTTTTCCACAGCCCGTAGAACATCCCTTTGGTGGTGGTAACCATCAGCACATTGGCAAGCCTTCAACCATCCGGAGAGATGCTCCTGCTGGGCGCAAAGTTGGTCTCATTGCTGCCCGCCGTACCGGAAGGCTGCGTGGAACAAAGACTGTGCAGGAAAAGGAGAACTAAAGATCCACTGTGGAGTTTACAGAATAAATTTTTAAAACATAGCTTGTGTGAAGTTCAAGTTACCTGTTACTGAAGTATGGCTCAGGTAGGGATAATGCTCGGTAGGGGAAGTTGGTGAGTGAAGGTAAAGTTGGGTTTGGGTTTGTTTTTTTTCTCCCCACCTTGAAGAGTAGGAATTCTTTCAGCCAGCACTTCAGTCTGTGAGCTGATGCTGTAAGCTGGAATAACACTGTAAATGCTCTTGTGCCCATGTGTGATGTAAACACTGGTCTGGTTACGTGGTTACTTAGGCCTGACAGCATTACAGACTGATCAGGTGATCCTTTGGTTACCAGGTTTATTGGTCTCAGGTTTATTGGCTGAAATGGTTGAAGGGTGCTCAGTTTTCCAAGTTCCTAGACTCTTAATAGTTTTCCATTTTTTACCTGCTGTGTTTTGGAGGAAGAGCTTGTGAGAGTTGTAGAACTTGCAGGAGATACGTTTCAGCTACTGTTAACTGTCAAGTTTGGGACTCTCCTTGGAACCATCCAGCTTCAACAGAAT